CTAAAAACAAAAAAAAAATTTTGACAAGACTGCATAAAAAAAAACTCTTTTAGGGGACCAAATAGAAACCTCCCCCCCCCCCCCCCCTTGTAACTTATGAGCGACAAGACAGAATAGAAGACCCCGGGTCTTCTAATGTGTCGGGGGCTTTAAATCTAAATATCAATGATTTCGCTTCAAATTCCAAAGTTATTGGCATTTGTTATATCACTATAAAATATTGAGGACCTCATTTACTCTGGAGCATCCGTAAAATTTCGTTTCATTTTAGTCTCGCAGACGTTGCGCTAAAAACTTTTCAATTGAGTAATTCAAACTATTTTTTCCTAGTTTCTTAGTCAATCTCTCTTTTTAAATATTTGTTTTATTAAAATATTTTGTCTTTTTGAGGTCTTTTCTTCTTATTTTTCGAAAATTTAATCACCCACCTTCACATGGACCTCATCTCGGTTATACCAAATTAAATTCAATAGAAGACTTCGCTTTTTGTGGTTAACACTAATTTTATGCTGAAGAATTATGGGCAGATGTTTTCACGGCGCGATAGTGCGGCAGAAAGACCTGGAGTACTTCCATATCCTTCAATAAATATGAACTAGAACAGGCGAATTCTTTTTTAGAATCGATCGAAGTCTAAATGAGGTGTCATTGATCCAATAAGGTCAATAAACCATTAGAGATAGAAACAATGGATCTCGAATAGAATCCAACAGAAATAGAAAAGTGTAATGGGATGCTTGTTTGAGAATTTTATTGAAAACATTTCAGCATTCGAAGATCCTTTTCCATATCGCACACTCAACTGTTGAACAATATTATCAGTTTACAAGTTATTTCTCTATGCGATCTAAAACAGTTTGATAAAAAGCCGTTCGAACTAGTTTAAAGATGAAATAAGAGTACTTGCGAAGCTTTCTGCAATTAATGTTTTTTTCCGCGTCTTTTTTTACATTTCCTATTTCAGTGGATTTTTCTATCAATATTTTGCGCGTGCTTAAACGATGAAATTTGTGACCCTTTAAAGCACTATCGACCCTATTTGTAGATAATAGTGGACAAGAATTTCAATGTGCTATTCACCAAGGAGAAATAAAGGATCCCATGGAATTGCCTTGTACACACAAATGTTGTCTTCACTGTTTGCGACAATGTATTTTACAAAATCCTTCTCAAAAAGTCATTTGTCCTGCATGCAATACTGTACATAAGGTACCCACCAATTGGAAAACAGTTTGGCGCTATCAGCCTTTGAATACCACAGTTCAACACTGGGAACCAAAGCAGGATCAGGCAACGAAGATAGTAATTAATTTCGTCGAAAGTTCATACTACAAATACACATCATCAGCACAGCGAATTAAAATTAAAGCCGTCAAAGAAATTAATAATCCACGACTGCAAGCTGATTTTGAAAAGTGTAAAAGAACGCTTGGTTACACAAACATTATAAGATTGCTACATGGTACACTACCACATTTTGCAGAAGGGATCGCATTGGAAGGATTTCGGATTCCAACCAGCTTCGAACGAAATCCAGAGAATGATGCTGAAGGCGAGCTCAAATTCGGTAAAGCGTTGTATTTTTCCTATGGCAAAAAAGCCACTGAATATGGAAAAAATACTCTAGTTCTGACCGATTGTCTTCTTGGCAAAGTTCAAGAAAAAAACCAATCAGAACTTAAACTAACGCCTAAGATAGTTCACGAACGTGGATACCATACGATTCATTATGAAAATAGCAGTGAAGGTCCGGTGAATCAAGAATGGGCTATCTTTCGTACAGATCAATGCTTACCAGTTTTCATCATCGATTATGAACTTATTGATGCCAATGATGTTATCGAGAATGCACTTGTTGACGAAATCAAGACAATGAATTACCTTTCTCCTGACTATATTCTTCTTCAACAAGCACTCTTTGGTACCGATAATCAGTGCAAAGCTGTTCTCAAACTTATTGGTGATCTTGCTCATCAGTCTCCCCCACATTCAAGTATCATTACTCGTCAGCTATTGTCACGAATTGGATCGATGAAAACGAACTTATTATTAAACCATCAAAATGAAACAATTCGTATTTTATTTCTTCGAGCGCTCTGGTTATCAGGCAGAGAAGATGAACCGCTGCAGATATTCTTCTATCAACAGCTAGGACCCAATAATCTAATCGAATCATTAATTTCAGGTTACGCTGATGTATCTTGGAGAGCGTGTGGTGTTTTGGCAAATATGGCTGCATATATACCGGAAATTCGAAGTATATTAACTACACCACATGTTGTTGTTCGTTTCAAGGCTTTATTACAGCAAGGTGTGACGACTCAAGATAAACTATGCATCCTCACAATTGTTAACTTATTAGCAAACATTAGTAGCACAGAGTACACAACTATGAAAAAGGAAAAAGATATTCAGAACTATATGAACGATACACTTATGGATCATCCGGATACAGAAATCCAAGAGGCTGCAAATCGATTCTTTTGTAACCTAATCGGAAAAGGAATTGTAACACCAGATTGGAAACGAGCTGGCTATAACGTCACTGCAGTAGCACCAGACCTCGAATAAATTCACTAACTTCAACTCACAAACTGTATTGCTTGATTTCTTTATTCACACTTCTCTTCTGTTTTACTTCTTCCAACTATTTCGAATATTCCATCAATCTTTTTGTGTTTATGTCCTTTTCACTTAGTTCCACTAGAATCCTAGCATATAGGATATCTGTTCAACTGTTTTCATAAAACGTTTCCCAAAAAGAAAGCATACGACTTATTTACTAAGCCAGTATCAATCGAAGCCAATACGAAATGCTTGAAAACGGTTCCCTTTCTGTAACGAAAAATAACAATAGAAATCACTAAGTTCTTGGCTTTGTCTTTGTTTCTGTTGATTTCTGTACACTTCCGTTACGTGTCGCTATCACTTGCTCTTTTATTTCAACAATACTATTCTTCTTTTACATATAAAGTTATACACTAGTATGCATATCACTCGCACACATGTATGTCGTTGTTCGATCTTACTCTCACCGCTCATTATCATCAACTCAATATATTCTCCACTGTTCTCTTTTCTTCACCTTAATCTTCTCACCTAAAGAGAATAATGTGAATATATACAGGATGCAATACAGCGATTACACGAGCGTTGACAAAGAACAGTGTATCACGTAATAATTACAATAGTATTGAACAAGTACAGTAGATTTCCCTAATTCTGTCTGAAAAATTTTACCATTTTTTGTTTGAATTAGTGTGCAACTATTATACATCCGATCAAAAATATTTTCATATTTAGGTAATCTCTAGATTCTCCTCTTTCAAATGATATATTGTTCGTCTTTTGTTTTTCATGTTTTCATACAGAAATTACCGGTCTACAAAAAACGCTTGCACTCGACAAAATTAGAAGGTAGTTCCCTAATCCTGTTGGCCAGCAAAAATATTTCCCTAATTCTGACGCCTCTAACAAACTGCATAGAAAAAGTC